AACATGAGGTTCGCCCAGGCAGTGTGACAGGAGCAAGAGTGAGCAAGAGAGAGAGAGAGAGAGAAACCAACATGAGAACCAATATAACATATGAGATCACATGTACACCTGACTTTGACATATTCTGTGATGACATACAGGAACTATTTTGTAAGAATGGATTTTCACCAGAAAATGTGGGAAAGCAAATAGAAGATTTGAGCAAGAAAACTGGAAAACCAAGAGAAGAGTTCACAGTTGTGCTGCCACTGACACATGAACCCTCAGATTACTGTTTCAAGTCCTGCACCATCCAGCAGCTTTTCAGTGAACTGGACAAACTGGCTAAACACAGACGACCTGAGTCAACAGATAACAGGTTAAACTGAAAGTAGAGACTGACTGATTGTCAGAGTTAACTTCATGGAAACCAGATTTAAAGCACATTCTTTTTAACAGTTTATAATGTTACTCTGGAATATTTTGGAAATGTATTTTATAAGAAAAGTCTGACTTGTTTACTCAATTCTAGCAGCGGCCATGGATTACAAACTATGTCAAACATGCCAAAGACAGGTAAACCCCATCTTACACAGTATCAGTATCTTACTAATATATTAAAAGGTGAAGTGTTCAGTGAAGGTGGATTGTTTAACTGAAGTAGTAAGTTTTATATGACCTTTAATTCAGGTGGCAGTCATGGCAAAGATTTCTTCACTGACCCCAAGAAGTGTTTAAAAAGTAAGACCAGTGCTTTGCTGATGTGTTTGAACTTACAGAAAGCAAAATATTGCAAGAAAGGTCTACTGATGCTAGCCAAGTTACTGTGGTTAAATGCAGCTTCACATTTATTTATTGTATAGCATAACAACTGATTACTATGTGGCGAGACGAGGTTGGGATATAAAGTAAATACTCTTCAGTTTTAAAGAACGACAACGCCACCCTGGGAATTTCACCCAGAGAATACTGGAAATGACACTAAATCACCAAAAAGGCACTTAGGTTCGCTATACTCAATCCAGAGACGAGGTTCAATAATAAACAAATTGACAATTTATTGGTAATTATTTAAAACACCGAATAAAAACATAATCATGAATATTCAAATACAAATATGCTTAAAAAGGTATTCAGAGCTGAGGCTTACCAGTGGAGGGGCAGGGATGCCACACACAACTAAAGAAAGAAAACACACCAAAACACAAGTGCAACACACTATCACACACTCACACTAATAAACTAGACAAGGCAGGTGTGTACACTCAAGGGATCCCACCACCAAGGCACCCTAGTCTCCTCCACGTCGGCACTCCGCATCTGAATAAAAGAAACAAAGAAAATGTTAATATATTACAACAAACTAATGTGTAGCACCGGGGGATAACCCAACTGCAGGACAACACTGGTGATCTACAGCTAGAAAAAGGGCCTCCCACCAGTGGCGTAACAGAAAATCCAAACTACAAATCAAAAAGCAATAAAACAACATACAATCTGAATAAAACTCTAAAATCTGGAGCAAACGGAATCGGCGTACTGCTCCAACTTGCCGTCCACACGACGATAAGTTAACAGTCAATCAATATGCACGCCAGCTGACTCCGATAACCGGCATGCATATGGCCGTTGTCCACGCCGACGTCCACTGTAAAAGCTGACAGCAGCAGGGAAAGAATTCTCACAACGGGAACAGACGGTAAAAGCACAGCAAGGCAAAACAGCAGCACTTCAGTTCGCGTAGCTTGGCGCAAAACTAAGGCCCACACTTCCTGCGAAACATAATAAATAATTACTATAAAAGAACAATAGAAGGCAGAGAGCGTAACAAAAGTTGATTACGTACCAAGTAAGCCGTGTCATAGAACGTAAGCAGAATAGCTCAGGAGGCTTCTATAGCTACGACCAGCCACGATGGAGACTTCAGAGGAGTAACCCACAAATGATCTCTACCACACCGAGAGGAAGTCAGGTGACCAAAAAGGAGATCACAGGCAAGCGACCCAGAGACACTCAAATGGCCACTATTTATACCAGCGCCCCCTAATGGGCCAGGCTGAAAGTGGGTTGGACCGAGGGATAACATTCATCCTGCCACACTATCAAATCATTATTGCCATACATCAATACAGGAAACACACTGGTACCACAGTAAACCTCGTTCTACTGGGAATGGCTGGAACTGGAAAGAGTGCCAGTGGAAACACCATCCTCGGAGAGAAGAGCTTCATGTCTAAACCCAGTTCAAAGCCGGTCACCACAGGTGGCAGAAACTGAGATGAATGACTTACGTGTACGTGTGATTGATAGCCCTGACATCTTTGATGATGACATTGAAGCATCAGTTCGGGACAAACATGTAAAAAAGTGTAAACAGCTCTGTGAGTCAGAACCCTGTGTGTATGTACTCGTGATGCATGTGAGCAGATTTACAGATGGTGAGAGAGACATCATGGAAAAGTTAGAAAAAGCTTTTGGGAGAGAAGTTAAAGAAAAAACGATCGTTCTGTTCACAAGGGGAGACGACCTGCAGCAGGCAGGAGCTTGAAGGATTTCCTGCATTCCTGCCAACCTGGTCTGAGGGAAATAGTTGAAAAGTGTGGAAACAGGTGTGTTCTCTTTGAGAACAGCAGGTCAAGTTCACAGGAAGTGGAAAAGCTGATTGACACTGTGATCGGGCTGTTAGAATAACAGGCAATATAACCTCAGGTGTCAGAGTTATGTCTTATGGTTTGTCTCTGTGTAATCCTTAGTTGCTGTCTCCCTGGTCTGCTATATCCCCGTGTCCAGTCAGTGTCTGTCTGCCCTGGTCCCACATCTCTGTTCCCTCTGTTGCAGTGCCTGCATGTGAGTCTGTGTCTTTAGTTCAGTCTGTGTCATATTTCCTGTTTTATTTTGAAGGTCCTTGTCTGATGTTAATGTATCTGGTTTTGCTTCCCCTTGTCTCGTTAGGCCTGATTTGCCCCAGCTGTGTTTCCCTCCTGTTACCCATTCCCTGATTGTTCCCTCTGTGTATTTAAGCCCTGTGTTTCTTTGTGTCCGTGTCACAATCTACTCTCATCTTGCTGTGTAAATTTATTTTTGTACTTTTGGGTTTGTTACGTTTTTGCCGTCCAGCAATAAAGCTGAGTTTTGGAAGTACACTTTTGCCTCAGAGCGTCTGCACTTTGGGTCCTCCTTACCACCACTCCTGTCTGCACACAGCCCTAACCTGACAAAATAAGCATTAACAATATATATTTAAATCTCAATACTAGCTATGACAAAGAAACCTTCTGGGTGCGCAGTCTGCACCTTGTTGATAGCATGAGACTGTTCTGCTAGTTCCAAGTTAACATTAGCATTTGGTGGAAGATATACTGCTATTACAAGTAGCGAGGAAAACTCTCTTGGTAGGTAGAAAGGGCGACACTTCACAATTTAAAAAAATCCACCTGGAGTTGAGCAGTGGCGACTCACTTCAGCAGAGTTCATGCACGATAGTTTGTTGAAACCACCACCCCGGCTCCTACCAGATAAGGAGCCTTTCTGTCGGCTTGATAGCATGCTAGCCCGGTTAGCTGGATAGCCGAGTCAGCAATGTCCGCATTCAGCCATGTTTCCGTGAGGATGTAAACACAATTTTTAAACTCACTCTGGGTCGAGTGCTGGAGCCACAGATAATCCATTTTACTGTCCAAGGAGCGAACGTTAGAGAGCAGGATGGATGGGAGTGCTGGTTGGAAAGGGTTAGCCTTTAGCCTAGTGCTAGCACCGGCATGCTTTACTCGCTTTTTTTACATGCGCAGCGCCAGCTGTGCCTCGGTGGGGGGTGGAGTTATTATATAACTCAGCAGCCGGCTGATGAAAAGTCCGGGAATCCGGCTGCGGTGAGGAGCGTCGCTTCTTTGACGATGCCAGGGCCGGCGCGTCAGGCTGAGGTTCCACCAGCTGGTTGGGCTGGAAAGCACCCTGGTTAGGAGAATAGAGGTGGAGAGTGTTAAGCAGAAAATCCGCCACAATCGGAAAAAGATGTCCGACACCCAGGGAAAACAAGTTAGCGTTCCCTGCAACCGCTTCTCCACAGCACGACGTAAATCCTCCGCATGTGCTTCCAGCCACAGGTCACACAGACGATTTACTTTGTCTGTCACCTCCCTCCTGAACCTCTCCGAAAGTCTGCTCGGTCCATCTGGCGGGATCATTCTGCCACGGTCGGCGATGGCCAACCAGGGGGAAGTGAGGAATGAGGACCCAGGCGCGGAGCTCTGTGTGCTTAGCAGTGCGTTTATTTACAGTGGCATGGAAAAATAACAATAAATCCTCAGTGCGTTCCCGACTCCCGTTACGTGTCTTCTTCCCAGTGTCAGTGTCCCTTCTCCCCGCTCCTTGTGAAGTCTGAGCACCCTGTGCTGGCTGTCCTCTCGTCTCCCCACTTCTCCTGGGGAGATAACAAACAGGCAGCCGTAAGACACACACACAGTGCGGAAGACCAATCATACTGACTGGCCGAGAGCCTAACGTGAAATCACACAATGATCCCACATCGGAGAGAGCTCCACCACACTCTCAAGTAGCTCCTCTGACGAGGCCTGATCAGCTGCAGGTGTGTCACAGACTTCAGGTGTGGCCAATCACCTGCCAGGGCCACACACACACCTACATACACACATATATCTACAAGCAGGGAGAACGAGGGACAGCAATAACAAAATACATATATTATCATATATGCATATTATCAAGTCCATAACTGCTCAGAGACCCTGACAAATCCCACTTAAAACCCACTTTTTAGCCTATGTGGTACCCACATGGTACCCACAAAAAACTTGAAAGATGGGGCCCGGGTGGGTTTCTGTGTACTTTGCCCAGTTGGGGCCCATTTAGTTCCCAGATTTTACCAATATTTAGCAAAAAAGTTTGGGAACCACTGCCTTACAATATAAATAAAACTGAATTGGATTGAATCCTGGAAAAGAACAACGGGACACAAAAATCTTAGCTTTATTGAATTTGTTTTTCCAGTTTACAAAGGTTAACAAGCTTTCATTGCCTCATTTGACAAAACTCCATAGAAAACCATAAAAGGTCATTCTTCTCTTCTTGTCTGTATGGTAATTCATATGATTCAGTAAAAGGACTAGATGTTACAATCCCTGACAATGCATTGCTTTAAATGGAGAAAATTAAAAAACAACAACAAAAAAACATCTTTTCCAAGCACTTTAAGTTATACATTATTCTGGTCTTTGAGTATTGTGTTTACCACCTTCATTAGTTTTTCAACCTGATCAGGACCTGATTTGTTGTTCTCAAAGAGAACACACCTGTTTCCACACTTTTCAACTATTTTCTTCAGATCAGGTTGGCAAGAATGAAGAAAATCCTCCAAGCCCATTCCCGCCTGCTGCAAGTCGTTTCCTCGGGTGAACAGGATGATTGTTCGTCCTCTAACTTCCCTCCCAAAAGCTTTTTCTAACTTTTCCATGATGTCTCTCTCACCATCTGTAAATCTGCTCACATGCATCACAAGTACAAACACACATGGTCCTGATTCACAGAGTTGTTTGCACCTTTGCACATGTTTGCCCCTAACTGATGGAGCAATGTCATCATCAAACATATCTGGGGTATCAATCACATTTACGTCTACACCACTGATCTCAGTTTGTACATTCTGGCAATTTGTGGTGACCGGCTTTGAACTGGGTGTAGAAATGAAGTGTTTCTGTCCAAGGATGGTGTTCCCACTGGCACTCTTTCCAGTCCCAGCCATTCCCAAAAGAACAAGGTTCACTGTGGTGCCAGTGTGTCGTCCTGCATAGATGTATACCAATAGTAATGTAAGTGAAAACTTATTATGCTACATTAAAAAAGTAATCAATGTAATCTTGTACAGTACTATTAAAATACAAAAAGAATGCGGTTATCATTAGTGAATCTTTATTGCTGTGTTTTTCATTAAGTGCTCTTTGTTTGAGAAATCATCTAAACAATGCTGATTGACTGAGTAACCCACTAATATGTGCTTTATATAGTACTTAAAAGAGATTGTGGTTTACCTGTCTTTGCCTCATTAGTGTGCGGTCTTGATATACATTGTGATCCACGGTCCCAACTACAAGTTAGATATAGAAGAAATACAACTTCATCAGGAAGCTGGTTGTTGTTTCATTAAAAATTATTACTATAATAGTATGCAAACATTTCAGAGTGTCTCTATAAGCTACATTTATAAAATATTTCATAGTATACATTTACCCATGTAAAGACATTACGTTCACAACTTGATTTACATGCTAAAGCTAAATCAAAAGTGCTCAACTTTAGCTTTACCTCAGTGCCGCCGGTTGTCTGTCTTTAGTGTCGTTGCTTCTGAATATGCTGAAAAAGCTTCCCATGATGCAGGATTTGAACGAATAACCTGTGGGTTCAAATGTCAGTGCCAGCACAACTCTGAACTCTTCCTTTTTGTTTAAGTATCCTTATTTAACAACTTAGTATATCTCAGTTGTTTTCAGATGATTCACATAAATCTTAAACCTGTTGTTAACAAAGGTCTCTTAAGATATTTATCATTACAAATGTTAAAATAACTTTTGTCTGAAATCAGAAAAATCAGAATCATTTTCTCTAAATACTGATTTTAAATTGTTTTTTTTATTGCTACAAAGCAAATACATGTAGAAGCACAACTTACATTAAGTGGAAGTTGTTCGGTCTGTTGAAGCATAACTCTGTGTGACTCTGTCTAAAGCCTGCAGACTGCTGTTCTCTGACTGTATAATACTGCAGGAGGCGTGTCATCTGTTGAGCTATAAAAAGCAACTTGTGGCAGAGCAGTTTTAGCATTCATCTCTCACCTGTGCAGTGACAACAGTGAAGAGAAAACATGGCTTTAGTTCCAGCAGGTAAGACTTATTATTAATCATTGTGTCTTTAATTACTTTCCTTTGAAAAATGTCAAAACTTCTCAGTTTCACTTTGGTTCTTGTAAAACTCTTGTGTACATGGGTTAAATCGAGTTAGTGAATTGTGTTTCAGGTCCTGATTTGAGGATTGTGATGATTGGAAAAACTGGTGTGGGCAAGAGTGCTGTTGGGAACACCATCCTGGGATATGAGCGTTTCAGATCTTGTCCTTTATCTGCATCAGTGACTGAGTTCTGTCAAAAAGCTTGGGTACAGTGGGGGAAGAGAGTAATTAGTGTTGTAGACACACCAGGGATCCTGGACACTTCAAAATCAGATGAGTTCATCAAAAGTGAAATCGTCAAATGTGTTGAAGTCTCCTGTCCCGGTCCTCACGTGTTCCTGTTGGTCATCCAAATCGGTCGATTCACGAGAGAAGAAAAAAACTCAGTGGAAGCCCTGCAGGAGCTGTTTGGCCCCGAGGCAAACAAGTACATGATTGTGCTCTTCACCCGAGGTGGTGATCTTGGAAGCATAACCATAGAGCAGTATGTACGTGACGCTGAGCCAGGGCTTAAACGCATCATCCAAAGCTGTGGAAACAGGTACCACGTCTTTGACAACACCAGCAGAGACAGAAAGCAGTTGGTGGAGCTCATCAAAAAGATCGACAAAATGGTGTCAGTAAATAAGGGCACCCACTACACAGACGCCATGTTCAAGGAGGTGGAGGAAGCACGCAAAAAGGGAGTAACACTGCAGCAGTATAGGTTCACTGAGTCGTTGTGTAAACGTATCAAACTTTTTCGCATCATTCTGGGGAAAGATTAAAGTGTTGTGGTTAATTGTAATTATTTTATTCTGAATAGGACAGCTTTTGTTTTACCTACACGAAATATACAGTTTGTCCATGATGACACACGGTGTGTAGATAGTTTGTGTTGATTTCCCATGAAAAAAATAATAAAATAAAATAGTATTGATTAAGTGAATTTGTCTTTTAAATTTGAAGAATAAAGTATGTGAAAGTTAAATAATGATCATATGATCATCATTGTTATATAATAATCATAATATAAGCGGTGCTATTATAAGTATTGATTGTCTCTGTTGTATCTATTCTAATTTGTATGTGAGCATCAAATCGTGGTGGTTATGTTTGAGCTGAAGTTTACAGTGTTTAAATTTAGTTGTAAATTTGGGAGACACAAGATAAATTTAGTCAATTAAATATTTTATGCAAATGGGACTGTGAATTATTTTCTGATTTAAAGAATGGGGACTTCGGTTTCTAATGAGAAGTCTTTATTTTGGGTCTGTTCTGCTCTGGCTGTTTGTATTAAAACATTCCCTTTAGGCTCATTATTGTTTGACAATTATTCTTGTAAAGCTTTTGGCCTAATAAAACTAGCAATCACAGAACTTTCATCAGTTATTTGTGATCCTAAGATGACAATGTCAGAACCAAATGTTCAACCTCTTCATTCATTATTATTTTTTGCCTGTTTGAATGAGAGAATATTAGATGACCTGTATCAACAGGTTTCTAGGTATCCATCTATGTACATAAAATCCCTCTAATATACTGCTTCCCAATCATTAGGATCAAGCTTTTTTTTAATATTAATCGTAATGGCTTAATATTATTCATATTACTTTTTTCTTTTACTCTTCTACTAATAGTTTCTCAAACATTTACTGAACTTTCTTTAAGTTATTTTGGCTATTTAATTGATTTGCTTCATTACTTTTTCTTTGGATTTCAAAGTCTGTCCTCACAGGACTGGGAAAACATATTTAAAGACATATTAAAAGAACATGTAAATAATAGTTAAACACTTCTGTAGTAAAAATAGCAGACTCAAACACTTAACTACTGAACCATGTTTTGAAGAAAACGCAAAACATCAGCTGAACCGCAATAGCTTTAATACATTTAACCTTTAATCATCTTTAATATTTCTGGTTATCACGATAATGAGGTGAAAACATTCTCTGTAGAAACCCACCCAAGGTGTTACAGGTATTTCAACATCACTATCCAACTTTCTGTCATGACAGCACACGTGTTCCCTCTAAGAATCATCACTCTGGGAAGACATTCCTTTCATTTCTTTAAGAGTTGGATGCACAACTTAAAATTTATTTAGGATTATCTCTCATCTACACAGGGCACAAAGTGTAATGGTCCCTAAGTCCTTTGTGTACTCTCTCAGTGCCTCTCGCTCTGTCTCTCTCTGTCATTCTTTGTTTGTTTTGGTGTCTACATCATGGCCCGGACTCATTCCAGCTCCCTGCCCAGCACACCTAAGGATCATTGCCCACCTGTTACTAATGAATGATAGCTACCACTTCTTGGCAGTGGCTGACGGTCAGTCCTTGCTGGATTGTTGACCTGCCTCGTTAGTAAAGTCCCAGCCTCTTGGGTATTTGATTCCCTTCTTGTTTCTGGCTACTTACCGTTTTCCCCTGTGTGTCAGTCTTCCCGGTGTTCCATAGGTGTGTTGTGAGAGAGTATCCAAATCTTTCCCAAGTGATTTTGATGTGTGGACCTCCCCTTTCTTCCCTTCCTGTGGCCCCCTCCTTTTAGGTGTAACCCCTAAGTCTTGTGTTTGGTTTTAGTGAATATAAATAAACCTGTTGAACTTTTTGAAACCCTAGCTAGTGTAGCCGGATGGGCTACTCGCTCACCACTGCCTTTTCTCTCTGGCTTTCTCTATTGCCCTCACTCTTTTCTGCTCTCTCTCTGTTTCTTACATGGCTAGCTAAGTCAATTACAGGGTGGCAAATGCCATTCACGCCTCCTTTCTCTCCTGCGAGAAGTGTTGTGTGCTGATAAATCTTCAGGTTAAATTAGGTGGTTTTGATCAGGCTAGACAACAGCCACAGGTACGCTGCACATTTATCCTCCTATCATGTAAATCTCAGTCCTGACCCTCAAACAAATGGTCAAACAGAAAGACTCAATCAAGAATTAGAAACAACCCTCTGTTGTGTCATTAATCAGAATCCAGCTTCCTGGTCTACACACCTACTATGGGTTAAATATTCACACAATTACTATGTCTCTGCTTCAACTGGTTTACCTCCGTTTGAAGTTTCTCTAGGCTACCAACCCCTGTTGTTTCCAGCCAGAGAAGCAGAGTTGGCTGTGCCCTCGGTCCAACACAGGGGCCATTGTCTCTCCTGCAGTCCAACACACCTGTAGCTCATTCTGGGTAATCAGATTGAGGATTTAAGCTCCACATTGACTCTCCTTCACTGCCAGTTTTTCAACTACCTCAACTCACCTGGACTCTCCATGTCACTTACCTTAAGCGCCAGCTTCTCTCGGACAATCTCTCCAATCTGGAAACCTCTCGGATCCTTACCTGCCTGCCCTCCAGCCATCTCTTACTCTCTCGGACACAGCGGAACTCAGGTCAACCAGCTCATACCATTAACTTACCTGGATACTCACCGCTTGTCCCTCAAAGCCAAACTCTACTCCAGCTAAGTAATCAAAATACCAGTTACACTCACCATCTACAAGCACCCCTGTCCGCTCCACCATCCTAACACTGTTTTCTAGTGATGGCCAAATGAAGCTTTCTGAAGCACTGAGGCTTGTATTGAAAAACGGTTCATTACTCGAAGCTTTTCAACAGTCCTCTCTGGTGACATCTGGTGGCCAAAAATATGAAGAGCAGCTTGAATCCACAAAATAAAACCAACTGCTTCATTATGATTGCCCACTCACTCTACAGAGTGGAATTCTGTCTGATATTGGGCCGCCGTTGTGTTGCTTTGAACGTTTATTTTTTGGTGGTTAAAAAAATTGTGGTTTATTTGTTTAATAAATAATTTCGACCAGTAAACTCTCCTTGTTTAAATATGCACCATGGTGTGGTCTTTCTTTGCTTGTGACTTCTTGATGTTGGTAAATACAATAATTGAAAAATACCACGTTACATATAATATGCATATAATAATGTACAACACATTATGGAGTATGCTTCTGCTGTGAGGTCCCGCCTCCATGCACTTATGCAATTAACTGCTAGACGGGTATATATATATATATATATATAAATAATATTATATTAGGGAAATTTTCCCAGACATATTTTTGACCTGGGGGTAGAATTGATTGTGAAATGGAAAATGCTTATGAACTTGCAAACTAAAAACATGATGCATTTAAGGTAACCCTTTTTCATTTTTATTTAAGAAGAGAATTTGTTCCACTGTGCGATGGCTGAAACTGTTCCTTTTCGTGGAGATAATTTCTCCTGCATTAAGGAAAATCCCTTCACGTGGAACAGAAGAGGCTGGAGTGCAGAGAAACTGGTAGAGATGCAGTTATACAGTCTACCTGGGCCCCACAAACTCAGCTAAAGAGAATAAATAAATTCAATTGCTGCACATTTGGCAGACTAACATTTTAAGATTAATTAAACAATAAAATATATTTTTTTACAACATTACATGTAAAGAGTCAAGTGGAAGTTTTTTTAAAGTTATTTAATGATATTTATATTATGGAAGCAGATTTTTGACATTTTATCTTTTCCCCGTTTTCAGATAAAATAAACACGCACAAAACAAAAGCAAACAGCCAGAACACAAAGCTGGAAAACCCACCCGATTGACAAAAATCAACTCAAAATTCTTCCACACAACAGAACCTCCTCTCTTCCTCGCTGGCTCCAAATCTCTCAGTAGAAACATCAGTGGTTCACTATCTGTCACCATCAAAACACTCCACAAATCCCGCAAATGATTCGCTTCCTTTTAAACCATGGAATCAGATACCGAAGCAGTTAGGTTCTAAACGAAGCTTCGGACGTCACTGACACAGAGCTTCTGAAGCAGTGTGTCGATTTTTTTGACACACGCACCGGAGCGTCAGCTTCAAGCGGACCATCACTACTGTTTTCCTCTCTTCTCAGTTCACCCCTCAGACGTGTCTGCCATGCTCCAGGTGCTCCTGTTCAGGCCCTTTCCCCCTTCTAGACCCACGACCTCATCACCGCGCCACCGACGCCACGCTTTAGCATATTCTATATCTCACTGTGCTTAAATGTTCCCTCTAAGCCTAAAGGGAAAAATAGGGAACACACACATGTGGTTATTCTAATTGCGCTTTCATCAAGTCAGTAAAGAGTCACAGAAAAGGAGGTCAGTCAACAACTAGGGAGGATCAGAAAGACAAACGCAACAATATTGTCATCCCCTATGTAGCCGGTTTATCAAAAAAACTCAACACGGTCCTGGGTTGATGACCCAGTCTTTTGAGTTTTGTACCTGTATTGTTTTATCGTAATGGTTTGATTACAAGTGTTTTGGTTTCTGTCTTTGTATTTGGAGCTCCCTCTGTTCTGTGTCTAGTTTGTCTCTGAGCCTGTCGTGTGCTTCCTGTTTTATTTTGGCAGTCCCAGTCCTGTGTGCAGTGAATCTAGTTTTGCTTCCCCTTGTCTTTTTATGTTTGATTACTCCCAGCTGTGCTTTCCTCCTGTGTCTTATTCCCTCGTAATCCCTCACTGTATTTAAGCCCTGTGTTTCTTGCTCTCTCAGTGTTGTGTCATACCCTTGCACGTTATTTGTTTTCCTTCCGTGTTCCTGAGGAAATTCTAGTTCCAAGTTCTGGTTTGTTTTCCTAGTTCATGCATTTTTAGATTCTAGTGTCCAGCCTAGGTTTTAGTTTTCTGCTTTGGATTTTGTTTCTAGTATGATTTTTGCTACAGCGCAATAAAGCTGCTTCCTTTTGTTCACTCCTTGGTTTTTGAGTCTTGCACTTGGGTCCTTTTCTCCTGCCTACCACACAGCATTTGGCTCAGATAATGGGAGTTAATGTTGTAGAGCCTCAGAAAACCTCTACTATGGTTAGATCATCATGCAGAAAATAAACGGGGAAAACAGCATGGACTTTTCATCAGAAAATAATTTCTTTGTTTTTGTTGAAAATTTAAAAAAGCCTGTTACTAAATGGCTTAGTCAAAAGTTCAATTCAATATTTATTTTTTATTTTTTTTAGCGCCAAATCACAACAAGGCGCTTCACAGATACAGAGAAAAATCCAACAATCATATGACCCCCTATGAGCAAGCACTTTGGCGACAGTGGGAAGGAAAAACTCACTTTTAACAGGAAGAAACCTTCGACAGAACCAGGCTCAGGGAGGGGCGGGGCCATCTGCTGTGATTGGTTGGGGTGAGAGAAGGAAGACAGGATAAAGACATGCTGTGGAAGAGAGACAGAGGTTAATAACAGATATGATTCAATGCAGAGAGGTCTGTTAATACATAGTGAGTGAGAAAGGTGACTGGAAAGGAAAAACTCAATGCATCATGGGAATCCCCCGGCAGCCTACGTCTATTACAGCATAACTAAGGGAGGATTCAGGGTCACCTGGTCCAGCCCTAACTATATGCTTCAGCAAAAAGGAAAGTTTGAAGCCTAATCTTAAAAGTAGAGATAGTGTCTGTCTCCCGAATCCAAACTGGAAGCTGGTTCCACAGAAGAGGGGCCTGAAAACTGAAGGCTCTGCCTCCCATTCTACTTTTAAATACTCTAGGAACAACAAGTAGGCCTGCAGAGCGAGAGCGAAGTGCTCTAATAGGGTGATATGGTACTACAAGGTCATTAAGATTTTGTGACCCGTGGTAGGTACCTATTTAAAATAGGACAGAGCCGTAGGCGCACAGTCAGTTTAAAAGAGTTTAATTTTTAATACAAAATAAAAGAAACAGTGTAACAGCAGCACCTAAAAACAATTAAAAACGTTACCTTATTAAAAAAACGATAAAACTGTACGATTGCCCGTGAGGCAGGACAAGCGCTGCGGGGAACAGTTTAAAAACAAATCGACATAGCACACAGGTTAAAAATGGACGGCAACTCACACATGACCCCAAATGGGTAAAACACTATAGAAAAAAAAGGCAAATCTTCGGTGCCGTCTTCACTCGGGCCCCCCGCTGTGCATGCAAGAGCGGGGAGACAAAAAAAGGATTTGTTTTCCCTGCAGCGCCTTCACCGCCTGCGAATCAATATCTGTGGTGCCTACTGATACAGAAAAAAAAGTAAAACAAAAAAACAAAACCATCGACAGCCGCAGCAGTCAGTCTGTCGGCTTACACCAGTTTAAAACAAATTAAAACACACTGATGTGTCGGGTCCTTTGCCCGCAGCCAGAAATCCACCTGGCAAAGCAGCAGCTCGGTACTCTGTCCACAAGTTCGTGTCACACCCTAATAAATGTGGGTCAGTGGCGATGAAGTCCACTATACCGTTCTCACGGGAGCAATGTTTCCCACCGTTCTAACAGAAGTTTAGGGGAGGACGCGTATCAGACTTTCATAGTTAAGAAACACCAACTTGCTCAACTCGGACCAAGCACTCGCAGCTTCAGGTTTGCAAAGGAATACCCAATTGCCCACACCTGCGCTTATGAAAGGAGCGAAGACCAGCTCCGCCCACCAGGGGCGGTCCCAAGTCTCCAGGTCTCACCTGTCACAATAAGATGGGGCCTGATTATTTAAGACCTTGTAAGTGAGGAGCAGGATTTTGAATTCAATTCTGGATTTAACAGGAAGCCAATGAAGGGAAGCCAAAACAGGAGAAATCTGCTCTCTCTTTCTAGTCCCTGTCAGGACTCTTGCTGCAGCATTTTGGATTAGCTGAAGGCTTTTCATGGAGTTTTTAGGACTTCCTGATAATGATGAATTACAGTCGTCCAGCCTGGAAGTAATAAATGCATGAACTAGTTTTTCAGCATCACTCTGAGACAGGATATTTCTAATTTTAGAGATGTTGTGCAAATGGAAGAACGCATATTTAATGTGCGTTGAAGGACATGTCCTGGCCACAAAAATGACCAGGACAAAGTCTTCTGATATTTCATGTTTCTTAGATCGAAACAAACATGCCTGCATGAGACAAACAAATATTACAGAAAGTTGGACAGTGATGTGAAAATACCTGTAACACCTGTGGGTTACACCCTAAATGTTTTCATTCACTTGTGTTAATGAGCTAACAATGAACCACATGTACCGAGGAAGGTTTGTTATGAAGAAATATTTTTGTCAGTCAACTGTTGTGATGGAAAATATCCTTGGGCAAGATACTAACCCCATGTTTGCCTACTGGTGGTGGTCAGAGGACCCGGTGGCGCCAGTGTCCGGCAGCCT